AAAGATTTCCAACTCAAAGGTCAGGCGACCTCGTTAGCAGATCAAATCCTGTGAAGTTTGGTAAGAAACCCCCACCTATGTTTTGTTACGCCCCTGCACTTTAATTTAATCGAGGTTGAGCGTCTAATCTGGAGCATCTAATCCCCACCACGTTCTTATGTGGGTGCAGAAAGTCAGAAGCGATCAGATTTGGCCCTGTGCCCCTCAGTTACACTTTCATTTCCACATTGGAAGACTTTAAACACGTAAAGCTTCATTACTGCCTGCCAGTCTGTCTCTCAGCAGATATCTGACACCATGCATTGACATGTGAATACTTGCATTCACTCGTTCACTTAAAGAAGCCTCAGTATTTGCATATTATGCTGAGACGTGGACACAACATGAGTCATGCTACATGGTGGCATTTTAAAACTGGAAGAATGGTTTGTCAAGTTCCTACAATGAACTGAACGCCCCAAGGTAACGCTGTCATATAAGCATGATAGATTACTCGGGCCTTTCACATGCTTCATTATTCACATTATTCACATCATTATTCTGTATTTTTTTAGCAACCAAATCAACAGTTCTCTTACTTGGTAATAAAACTTGATTAAAAGCAGTTTTATGTCATCTGTAGTCCAACAAATCTGACGAGTCAGATGCATTTTTTTTCGGTCAGATAAAGTCAGATAAAGAGAAATTCCCCTTTAAAAAAAAAAACAAAAAACCTTTTAATATGACATGACCTATTAGCTATCACTACATGACCTTGTTACCACCATCTTAGCAAGACATAAATTGAAAAAAACAAAACCCACCAAAAAGGTCATATGTTATGAATAGCTCTGTTTTGCAATTGTGCAACAGTGAAGGGAAAGTGGAGCGCTGCGTGCAAAATCTTGTCAGTCATCAAAAGTACAGGGTCCCATGGTGGGCAGTGAACTTTTCAATCTAACCATCCGCATCAAATCTTTTGGGTAATATATATATATAAAAATACAAATTAAGTGTGTACTTGAGGTCTTTTGAATGAGCATGTTCCATAATGTAGCTACAAGTTGCTCTCTGCTACCAGTGTTTCCACTCTGTAAGGACACACAGCAATGTGAGGACATTGATGCTCGTGGACCCTTACGGTCTCTATTGCAGGTGGTAGTTGCTCCTTTAGCTTAGCCTGGGCAAACCCCAGTAGTTGAGGCTTGGCCACTCAGCTCGGTCACTCGAGGAGGACTCTGAGTAGAGCTGCTGCTCCTCAGCGTTGAAGGAGCCAGTAAAGGTGGTTCAGGCATCTTAATGGGATGCTCCCCGGATGTTCCTAGGTGAGGGGTTTAGGGCGTGAATGACATGCTGGAGAAATTATACAAAATTCTATTTATGTCTAAAGAAGCAAATCATTACATATTACCTTAATTCTTAAAGCTTAACTCTGCTGTCCAAGCTGAATTCTGCAGACCTGAATCAACTTGACTTTTGACAGTTTGGAGGGCGGATCCCAAAGGAAGAGGGGTCCTAATGTGATTGGTCACTTTCAAAGCAGTGATGCCGCAGGTTTACTTTATTGCATTAGTAGCAGCAACACAAGCGCCGTTTTAAACTGTATTTGATTACAATTTGTATAATGAAGTTTGCTGAATTAACTTTAAAACCTTAAACCAGAGAGGAGGTGACATGTTGTAATTTTTATACATATACTTGTAAGATTGTAGCTTTATAATTGTAATATTTCTGTCTATTTTTGACCAATAAATCATTACATTCAGTTTAAACACGTCTGTGGACGTAAGCCGAATTTAAAGGATTGTTAAGATAACCCCACTCTACACACCTGATCACAATTCATACAAAAACTTTCAAGCTATTGTGTTAACAAATTAACAGAATGACACGCTACCAAAAACATAACCACATTCGTCACTGACTAAGGAAACATTTGAATATAAAACGGGTAGAAAATAATATGTCTGCATTAATATGTAAGTTTAAAGTCCTAAACTTAATATAAAGAAACAAACAAACTGGGAGTATGTTGTGAACAAAATTTCTTCTTCGGTCTGTTTTCTTCTCTGTGCAGCTGTTTTTTGCTTTTAAGCTATGCTTTACACAAGACCCGCACAACTGTCTCCTTTTATTGGTTTTAATAAGTGGGAGCTAATACCAGTTTAATCCCCACCAAGTTTCAAAGAAAGCAGGGAAAGTACAACACGAGCACATCACTGGAAAACTGTTTGGGCTTGAATGAGTCATAAATCTTTGACCTCATAGTCAGAGCAGAGGTTACTGTTTTCCTTTCCCCAGCAGCTTGTTGCCTGAGTTTCCTAACGTCCTGTGGCCAAACAAACTCCCTGTGTAACCGCTGTTCATTTGAAAGGACGGACAACCACGCTGCTCGTTAAATTCAGCACCTGCTTGATGCAAATGATGGATGTTCAAGTGTGTTTTCCTGTTTAAGGGCGGTAAAACCTGAAGCTGATTTTGGTGGAAGTCTCAGCAACAACCGCATTTGTTACCTAGAAAATTGATTCTTATCTTATCCGCCTGCGAACAGAATTGACTTTATTAGAACACAACGTGCGTGTTGTGTTCTCTTTGCTGAACCATAACTCACTTGTGGTTTTTTTTGTCCTTACTTTCTGCTACAAAAGCAGTAGTGTGGTTACGTGCTGCAGAACAAGTTTTAACCTGCCCTGCTGACACTTTGGTATTCACATTCAGAAAGTACTCCAAAATATACATTGAGTAAACAGCAGCTGCGTGGCTGCAAAATGAAACCAAGAACGGCAGTTTTTCTGATCGCTAAAGAACATTTGTACCGCTTCAGAAAAAACATTTTATTTTTTTTCCGCACTATAGCTGTCTGTCTTATCTAAATGTCCTCTTGGTGATATACAGTGAAGCTAAACATGCTCCAGACTATACTCAACCTCAAGTCAAGCACAGTGGTACGGTACACAGTGAAACAAGACATCGTGTGACTGCAGTTGTGTACCCCCATCACCACAAAGACACCACAGCATATGAAGTTGAGTGCCATCTGATTCTTAATCCATGGGGTTGAATATGATGTTGGTCCACAATTTGCAGCTATACATGTTTAAACTCTTCTGGGATGTCTTTCCAAGGTTCAGAAGTGTGTTTATGGGAATTTTTGACCGTTCTTCCAGAGGTGCATTTGTGAGGTGAGACACTTAAGTTAGATGAGAAGACCTGGCTCGCAGTTTCCTCTCTAATTCACCCCAAAGTTGTTTTATCAGGTTGAGGTCAGGACTCCGTCAAGCTCCTCCAAACATCTTTTTTGACTTTGCTTTGTGCACTGGTGGGCATATTGGCACAGGAAGGCATCATCCCCAAATGAATGTAATGAATGAAGTAAATTGGCCAAAACCAGGTGTTCAAAGCCTGGAGGAAGCCTGGAGAATTTTCAAAGCTATAAATGATGCCAAGGGGTGTGAGAGGTGAAAGAAAGATCCTAACTTTTGTAAATGAGAGTAAATGATTTCCTCTACATTTGCACAAAGAATATAAAAGCATGTTTTTTTCCAATTTATAACAGGTTACAGAGTGTACAATGATGGGAACAGTGAAGGGGTCTAAAGACTTTCTAAATGCACTGTGGTTCTAGATGTTTGTGTTTCTAAAGTGACATTCTACTTGTAAAATTTAAGGTGTTCCAAAACTCGACAGGGTGTGTTTAAGGGTATTTACCTGTGCTGACAAGCCTCTCACACGCAGTTGATTTACATCACTTTTAAGAACATTAAATTGGCTTGCATTCACCTCCTGGTGACCTCATCTAATTAAAACCAAACTGAACTAAACCGCTTCTTTAAATAAGCAAGAACTATCATTATCTAAATTATCATGAACACAGATTTTTAGACATATATACCTCTGATGGGCAACTTGAGAGTAAAAATAGGAAGGCAATTTTCTTGCGACCTGGAAAAATCTGCATTTTTATTCTGGTACTTTTTCCCAATTTGGTAAAAAGTAGCAGCGCCAACAAACTGCTCACTCAGAAGCGCCAACTTCTTCAATGGACAGCCACTTTCGATTGCAATGCAGTTGCACATGTTGGTTGGTGGGAGCCAACCTGTCTCCCAAAAGTTACAGTTCAACTCAGGGACCTAACTCAGCTGATTGTCATCTGATTGCATTCCTATGTAAACGCGAGGATGCAGAGTACCTATGTCATTTTGCAAGTAAATTACTGTTTTGCAGCAACTAGAGGTGAAATAATTTATGTTTTAGATCTTTGTAGTTCTGGTTGGACTCCAAACGTAAGTACTTAATGGATTAATGGAATTTCTGCAGAGCTACTGTATTTGTGAAGTTTGCCACTTTATCACAGTTATTCACCATATTATTACAAACACATTGGGTAAGTGACTGGTGTATATATATCTTAAGTCTTTAAAAATGCATGTAAATAAAGCACAATGTAAACAGCTGGACTGCTAATTGTTTATTTTTTTTTCCCAACAACTTGTACCAGCATAAAAAGAACAAAATATATGTAGTAAAATAAAGTGGAATAAATATAACAGTTTTACTGCAGGTGTGTTTTAAATTCCAGTTAGCTTGATATCACAAAAAACACATTAAATAATCTAAACTGAGAACATTATCCATCATCCACCTTGCAGCAATCCAAGTACAGACTTGAATCAGTTCATCTGGATGCAGCTCAGCTTCTTCCACTGAAAACGCTTCATCCAGGCAAACAGAATCCAATTTCCGGGACTATAAAACTGTCATAATCGGCTATATGGCAGATTAGGCAGGGCCCAGGTGCAGCACACTGTGACAGACAGAATTAACTATAAAGCAGCTTTATTCCCGTACTTGGACGCTCAAAGGAAATACAAAAAATAAAACTCTAACCACAAAAACAAAACCACACTGCAGACATGGACATGACCAACTAAGGAGACAGAAGGGGGGCAACAAACACTGAGACAATAGATAAAGAACCTTGAAAACAAGGCTGACTTAACAGCCTGGAGCAGAAAAACTCTAAGATAACTAAAAACTGAACGCTAACCGATGCATACTTTATACATGATGTAAATATAATGATGAAACTAGGAATCACATACAATATTCCACACATAATAAAAACTAGTAAGTCCAGAAACAGAGAAACTCTGGCTCAAAGACCATGTCAAAAACAGTACCATGTCAAAAACAACTCTGACAATTGAGATCAACTACCATTTGCAGGGAGTGTATGTGAGAACGCAGCCATAAATATTTTATCCTGACACGTTGATTGACAACACTGCACAGTGATGTCTTAGAAACAATAGATGCATAGTGCCAATATGACACAAAAAGGTATTTCAGTACGCAGCTCAGCACAGCACAGCCGGTTCTTAAATACTGTTGAGACACACACGAGGCGACCTTCGCAGTCATTTCCAAGCTTGTTGGTCATTCTCAGACGTCAGCTTCTTCCAAAAAGACATCAATATCGAGAACGTGCTCCTCATCCACACAACACACTGGTGACTGAATCTGACTATATAAGTGTATCTATGAAAGGTAGACCTCAAGAGTGTCAGTTAATCCAATTAAGTAGCATTAAAAGCCACATGTTTGCTAAAATTTATAAATAAAGATACAATTTGTATCAACTGCATCCTGCCTCTAACGTGAGACTGCAGCGAGGCAACTCCAAAGAATTCAAATAGAGTTTTTAATCAAGGTGGATACCACAATACAAAACACACAAACTCATGTTAACCTTCAGTCTTTCCACTGAAAGACGAGTTCTCGGACTGGATTCGTCTCATCTCAGCTGACTCTGCAACTTGAGGATTTCAACCACGAGCATCTGTGGATCCATCATCTGAGGGAACATGTCCATGGCTGTATCCACCAGCTGGGCGCTGAAGATAGCGAGGAGCTTTTTCCGTATAACCTCTCTCTCCTCCCTGCTGGGACCTGGTTGCTTCATTGGAGGAGGCTCCCAGTGTGAGGGATCTCCCGGGAGGCTGCGGACCACCGCCGGTTGGCCGCAGAATGGATCGGACCATTGTGGCCTCTGGAAGCTGTGGGTTTGTCTGCGCTGGAAATGTGTCGGTTGGCTGTACGGATTCATGCTGACTGGGTAAGCGCAATAGTTTGGATAGTGGGGCAGACTGTAGGGCATCATATCAGCGCTGTGGCTGCTCACTGGCCCGATGTTGTAAGTTGGGAAAGCCGGCGCACTCCCACAAGAGGCAGTGCCATGTGAGCAGCAGCTGCACGGGGCACTTTTTGGAGGGCAGTACTGCTGGCTGCTGCTGTACGGTAGCCCAAACTGGTGATCACTCAGACTCCGAGGAGCTTCCACCGGCTGGCTGTCTATGGAGCCTAAACCAGAGTCCAGCTGCTCCTGAGAGCGGCTGTGCTGCACCGAGTTGTGATCAGACGACGCGTGTTTGCTGGACTTCTCCTTCTTTGATGAGGCCTTCTTGCTGGAGCAGTGACTTGCCTTCACCTGAGCTGCCTTTTCATTTTTATGAGCTTTTTTTAAGGAGCTGCTCTCGTTTCCCAGAGTCAGTTTCTTTGCCATATCCTCCACCAACAGGAGGCTGAGTCCAGGCACAGGACTGGAGCAAGCTGAAGATTGTTTCTGAGAAGCAGTAGGCTGCTTAGCACTCTCTCGAAGCTCGTCTGCAAGAGCACGATTGGACTGTTTGGCTCGCTCGGGATGGTGGAATTTACATTTGATTCCATAAGTACATTTCTTCCCTGGAAAAATAATAAACAGCAGGCTTTATAACTCCACCAAAGCAGTATTCCTTTTTTCATGCAGAGAAATGTCTCGGCTAGGCAACAGCAACAGTCAAATAAAAGCCCTATATGTAAAGTAGTCTGCACATAATCTTGTTAAAGTGAGGAATTTTTCTAAAATACTGCTTTAAATACTTTTTACTTTACTTTACTTTATCAATTTTACAGAAAGTGCAACAAAATACACTAAATCTGATCAACATTGGGCATTCTTTGAAATTAAAACTGCACCACTATACTTTGCAGGTAGTTTGTCTCAAGCACTGTGAAGTTTAACTTGTCTTAGTGTCTCCTCCTTAATACTGGATTCTGAAATCTGTGAGGGCTGAAACCATCAAGATCTCTCTTTTTAACCCTGACTGTGTATTTGGGATCCATGTTTGCTGTACTGTGACCCCTGATGGCGCTACATGTCTTAAAAAAGCCCTCTCACCATAAGGACAGGGCTGTTTTTTCTGAGTCTTTGGAACCCTCCGCAGGAAGTTCTCCAGGGTTGGTCCATGTCGACCGAGGGGATCATCGGGGGGCATAAACCTGCATCGGGGTGAAATGCAAACACCATCACTCATTGGTTAATCCAGGTTACTAGCTGGTAGGGATCTTGTGTATCAGGAACGCAGAACTCACTTGTTATTAACAAAGGAGTACATGAGCAGCCTCTCTTCGATGAAGCGCTTCCACTCCGGCTTCTCTCCCTGAAGGTCACGGTACATGTCGTTGGACACGATGATGCCGTCAGACTCAAAGGCGTGCTTGACAATGTAGCAGTCGTCATTACAGACCACCCGTTTGCCTGCATAGCGCCGCGACGGTGTGAACACCAGAATCCTTTTCCTCTCCAGCTCACGCAGAATTTGCTGATCTGGATGCCAAACATTAAGTAAGAGAAATGATGAGCCACTACAATAAAGCCAGTGACTGATTATTCAAGACTTTGAATATGAGGAGAAGAATTCTGAATTTGACTGTGGATTTAACAGGGAGCCATTGAAGGGAAGCCAATATGGGATAAACATGATCTCGCTTCCCAGTCCTTGTCAGTATACTCGCTGGATCAACTGAAGGCTTTCCAAGGAGCTTTGAGGACAACTTGATAATAATGACTTACAATAGTCAAGCCTAGAATAAGTGAACAAACTAGTTTTCAGCATATTTCTAATTTTACAAACATCCTGTCTTAACCTCCTAGGACCACATTTTGGGTTATTTAGACCAAAATACTCAATTTTGCTCTACAAGGGCCTGATATCCACTTACGAGGACATTATACTGCTACTGTTCTATCAAAATTTTAAACGAATATCCTCATATGTGGCTCTTATTTTTCTTAAAAACAAAAATAAGGTAAAAAAAAATCTGGTAATTCTTTGTTTTTACACTGATCGAGCCCCAATATGTCCAAATATCAAAGAGAAATTAAAAATGCATGTCGTGGAAGAGTTTGGGTCTTAGGAGGTTAAAGAAGTGCAAGAAAGCAATCATACATATTTTTAATGTGCTCACAAGGACATACCCCTATCAAAATGACCATCAAAGTAAATATCTGGTTAGACACTATTTTTCTAAAATCTTTAGGGCCGAGTACAATAACTCAGTTCTAGAATCAGGAAATTAAAAGTCATCCAGCTCTTTATGTCTATAAGACATTCCTATAGTTCAGCTAACTGCTGTGTGTCATTTGGCTTCATGGCTAGATTAAGCTGGGTATCATCTGCATAGTGATGACACTGTATGCTATGCCTTGCCTTCCAAGGGAAGCATGTATAATGTGAATAGAATTCATCCCAGTACAGAGCCCTGTGGAACTCCATAATTAGAAAAATTGCAGAAGGAGCACAGTTTAACCCTAAAGGAGTGGCTAGAGGAACAAAACAAAGAGCTTAATCTTTGTGGAGCCGAGAGGAGCCGCAAATTAAGCTCAGGGTCATCACTAAATGCCCATTCAGATCTTTATTTAACTCATTCAGCTATAATAAAGCAAGTCCCGACTGCATATTAGTTTGTGTTTTTC